TAAACCAACCAGTAAACCAACCAGTAACCCAACCAACAGTAACCCAATCAAGTAAACCAACCAACAGCAACCCAACCAGTAAGCCAACCAATAAACCAAACAGTAACCCAATCAAGTAAACCAACCAGTAAACCAACCAGTAAACCAACCAATAAACCAACCAACAGTAACCCAATCAAGTAAACCAACCAACAGTAACCCAACCAGCAAACCAACCAGTAACCCAATCAAGTAAACCAACCAATAAACCAACCAACAGTAACCCAATCAAGAAACCAACCAACAGCAACCCAACCAGTAAGCCAACCAATAAACCAACCAGTAACCCAATCAAGTAAACCAACCAGTAAACCAACCAGTAAACCAACCAGTAACCCAACCAACAGTAACCCAATCAAGTAAACCAACCCAAATATGTCCCAACTAGCAAATCAACCAGCAACCCAATCAAGTAAACCAACCAATAAACCAAATCCAACAGTAACCCAATCAAGTAAACCAACCAACAGCAACCCAACCAGTAAGCCAACCAATAAACCAACCAGTAACCCAATCAAGTAAACCAACCAGTAAACCAACCAGTAAACCAACCAGTAACCCAACCAGTAAACCAACCAACAGTAACCCAACCAGCAAACCAACCAGTAACCCAATCAAGTAAACCAACCAATAAACCAAACCAACAGTAACAACCCAATCAAGTAAACCAAACCAACAGCAACCCAACCAGTAAGCCAACCAATAAACCAACCAGTAACCCAATCAAGTAAACCAACCAGTAAACCAACCAGTAAACCAACCAGTAAACCAACCAACAGTAACCCAACCAGTAAACAAACCAACAGTAACCTAACCACCAAACCAACCAGTAACCCAATCAAGTAAAACCAACCAATTAATCCAACCAACAGTAACCCAATCAAGTAAACCAACCAACAGCAACCCAACCAGTAAGCCAACCAATAAACCAACTACAGTAACCCAATCAAGTAAACCAACCAGTAAACCAAACCACCAAACCAAACCAACCAGTAACCCAACCAACAGTAACCCAATCAAGTGAACCAACCAACAGCAACCCAACCAGTAAGCCAACCAATAAACCAACCAGTAACCCAATCAAGTAAACCAACCAGTAAACCAACCAGTAAACCAACCAGTAACCCAACCAACAGTAACCCAATCAAGTGAACCAACCAACAGCAACCCAACCAGTAAGCCAACCAATAAACCAACCAGTAACCCAATCAAGTAAACCAACCAGTAAACCAACCAGTAAACCAACCAGTAACCCAACCAACAGTAACCCAATCAAGTAAACCAACCAGTAAACCAACCAGTAAACCAACCAGTAACCCAACCAACAGTAACCCAATCAAGTAAACCAACCAACAGCAACCCAACCAGTAAACCAACCAGTAACCCAACCAGTAACCCAACCAACTCAACCAACAGTAACCCAATCAAGTAAACCAACCAGTAAACCAACCAGTAAACCAACCAGTAACCCAACCAGTAACCCAACCAACAGTAACCCAATCAAGTAAACCAACCAGTAAACCAACCAGTAAACCAACCAGTAAACCAACCAGTAACCCAACCAGTAACCCAACAAGTAACCCAATCAAGTAAACCAACCAGTAAACCAACCAGTAAACCAACCAATAAACCAACCAACATTAACCCAATCAAGTAAACCAACCAACAGTAACCCAACCAGTAAACCAACCAACAGTAACCCAACCAGCAAACCAACCAGTAACCCAATCAAGTAAACCAACCAATAAACCAACCAACAGTAACCCAATCAAGTAAACCAACCAACAGCAACCCAACCAGTAAGCCAACCAATAAACCAACCAGTAACCCAATCAAGTAAACCAACCAGTAAACCAACCAGTAAACCAACCAGTAACCCAACCAACAGTAACCCAATCAAGTAAACCAACCAACAGCAACCCAACCAGTAAGCCAACCAATAAACCAACCAGTAACCCAATCAAGTAAACCAACCAGTAAACCAACCAGTAAACCAACCAGTAAACCAACCAACAGTAACCCAATCAAGTAAACCAACCAACAGCAACCCAACCAGTAAGCCAACCAATAAACCAAACAGTAACCCAATCAAGTAAACCAACCAGTAAACCAACCAGTAAACCAACCAATAAACCAACCAACAGTAGCCCAATCAAGTAAACCAACCAACAGTAACCCAACCAGCAAACCAACCAGTAACCCAATCAAGTAAACCAACCAATAAACCAACCAACAGTAACCCAATCAAGTAAACCAACCAACAGCAACCCAACCAGTAAGCCAACCAATAAACCAAACAGTAACCCAATCAAGTAAACCAACCAGTAAACCAACCAGTATAAACCAACCAACAGTAACCCAAACAACCAGTAAACCAACCAACAGTAACCCAACTAGCAAACCAACCAGTAACCCAATCAAGTAAACCAACCAATAAACCAACCAACAGTAACCCAATCAAGTAAACCAACCAACAGCAACCCAACCAGTAAGCCAACCAATAAACCAACCAGTAACCCAATCAAGTAAACCATCCAGTAAACCAACCAGTAAACCAACCAGTAAACCAACCAACAGTAACCCAATCAAGTAAACCAACCAACAGTAACCCAACCAGCAAACCAACCAGTAACCCAATCAAGTAAACCAACCAATAAACCAACCAACAGTAACCCAATCAAGTAAACCAACCAACAGCAACCCAACCAGTAAGCCAACCAATAAACCAACCAGTAACCCAATCAAGTAAACCAACCAGTAAACCAACCAGTAAACCAACCAGTAAACCAACCAACAGTAACCCAATCAAGTAAACCAACCAACAGTAACCCAACCAGCAAACCAACCAGTAACCCAATCAAGTAAACCAACCAATAAACCAACCAACAGTAACCCAATCAAGTAAACCAACCAACAGCAACCCAACCAGTAAGCCAACCAATAAACCAACCAGTAACCCAATCAAGTAAACCAACCAGTAAACCAACCAGTAAACCAACCAGTAACCCAACCAACAGTAACCCAATCAAGTAAACCAACCAACAGCAACCCAACCAGTAAGCCAACCAATAAACCAACCAGTAACCCAATCAAGTAAACCAACCAGTAAACCAACCAGTAAACCAACCAGTAAACCCAACCAACAGTAACCCAATCAAGTGAACCAACCAACAGCAACCCAACCAGTAAGCCAACCAGTAAACCAACCAGTAAACCAACCAGTAACCCAACCAGTAACCCAACCAACAGTAACCCAATCAAGTAAACCAACCAGTAAACCAACCAGTAAACCAACCAGTAAACCAACCAGTAACCCAACCAGTAACCCAACCAACAGTAACCCAATCAAGTAAACCAACCAGTAAACCAACCAGTAAACCAACCAGTAAACCAACCAGTAACCCAACCAGTAACCCAACCAACAGTAACCCAATCAAGTAAACCAACCAGTAAACCAACCAGTAAACCAACCAGTAAACCAACCAGTAACCCAACCAGTAACCCAACCAACAGTAACCCAATCAAGTAAACCAACCAGTAAACCAACCAGTAAACCAACCAGTAAACCAACCAGTAACCCAACCAGTAACCCAACCAACAGTAACCCAATCAAGTAAACCAACCAGTAAACCAACCAGTAACCCAACCAGTAACCCAACCAGTAACCCAACCAACAGTAACCCAATCAAGTAAACCAACACAACGAACATCCATGAACGCTTCAGGAACCGGATGCGAGCGAGCCATGGAACTCAGAGTCCGCTTTTCAGATTTGGTCCGGGACCCCAAATGGCGGAAACCATCGTCGTTTGATAAAGTTTGGTGTTCTTTCTGCCACAAAGGGGCATCCTCAAAAAAAAAAGAGGAGCCCAGCCGGTCCCCGAAAACAAACATTCCAACTTAAAAATTGGTGTTTGAAACCCATTTGGGTTATGGTGACCTTCCATTCCACCCTTTATTCGGTTCCAACAAACCGATTTCTAGTGGAAGGAACTTTGAGGGTCCAGGCCATATTAATGAACCCCAGTTTATTAATAGGGAGTGTTCCCCTCAAAACCCCACTAAGCACAGAGACATCCCCCTAGTAAACAGGGATCCTTACATCATACACTTAAACATTGTTTCGTAAATGGTGGTTTCTCTGTATTTTGGTGGAACAAACCATGTTTTATATGGGCAAAATGTATCTTTTAAGGAGCACTGGTACTTATGCAGGTGGCCTTTCGCGCCTTCCCTCCAAAACCCCTCTCCCCTGACAAAAAATCCCCCATGCAAGGAATTTCCCGGAAAAAAAAGAAGAAGCAAAAACACCTCGCCCTTGCCTCCAAAGCCCTCTCCCCGAAAAACACACAAAACGCGTGACAGGAATCTCCTTCTGACGCCGCCGCTGGGTCTAAACGCACTCTGAATCCATGGATCCGAGGCGCACGAAGGAGATGATGGGCCATAAGCCCCAGGCCTGCGAGCCGCAGGAGAAGCCGTTGGTCTTCAAAATCCCGAAGAGCTTCTCAGAGCTGGGCGAAAACGACGAGAAGACCTCGTCCTCGTCAAAACGAGCGGACATGGCACTCACTTCCTCAAGAAAGCTCGCTCGGCCGCGCTGTTCGAGTTGAAGTCATTTGTCATTTGGTTTTGCTAAGGTGCTGCGAGGAGCTTGCCTGTACTTAAGATACGAGAGAGAGAAAGAGAGAGAGAGAGAGTCGAGGTGTATACTTGGGTGTTTTGTCCGCCAAGTTAGTAAGTTGTTGGTACTTGGGTGTTTGGTTTGCCAAGTTAGTAAGTTGTTGGTCCTTGGGTGCTTGTTTCGCCAAGTTTGTAGGTGGTATCGGTAGCCGTTGGGCTATAGTCCACTTGGAAGCCTCGTTCACCTTGTGATTTGTGGGTTCCCGGTGGCTAACCCAGGTAGCGTTTTCCACTTGCGAACTCGGCGAATTGAAGACCCCAGCAAGCCTTGCTTGTACTTGGTTGCTGTTGACCCCCCTGCAAAAAGTTAAATGTTTGCGGGTTTAGTGGAAAGCACCTTTATTTCCGCTCTGCGCCGAGCATTTCCTTCTGGGGAAGCTGCTTATGAGACAACATCTCTCCAACCCCCCCGCGGCCTAAAACAAGAAACCAAGGTCAACCGCCATACGAAGACAACCTTCAAAATGCTGAAGCCCAATTCAACCCATCACCCCCCCCCCCCCACCTCCCGCAAAAAAACAAACACATAAACACATAAGCAAAAAATATATGTCCAAAATCCCAAGTGTCCAAAAATAAGCAGTGGTTGGGACCCGGTTGCTGCACGCGGCTTCGACTTTTGCTCCAAAACGTTTCGTGGAAGTTGCCACAGCCTCGGACTCCAACCCCGAGCCTCGTCACTCGCCAAACGCTGCAGCACGTTGCCTCACGACACGCAAGCGGTCAATATCCGATCCCCAGCGAAGTACCTGGAGTCTCCATGACCCTTAAAAAATGGGGTCATTATCGGAGAAAAAAAAAAGAAGGGGTCACGGACCCATTTTTAAAGGGTCAGAAGGAGACTCCAGGTATTCTAGGTCCAAACGAAGGAACTCCTCCCCATTTTTGAGGCGAATGTTGTTGTCCAGGTTGCTGAGCTGTCTGTTTTCAGATCCCCCGCTAAAAGTGGACAACTTTTAGTGGGCTAAATGGAAAACCAACCGCTAAACACCAGAAAGCTAAAAAGCTAAGGAGATGACACGCAGACAACATCTGATGCCAGGGGGCCAGGCAACCCACCAGTCAAAGAATGGTTGGGTTCATATTTCACCATAACGTTTACCGTTCAGGATTGGCATCATCCAAATTGGTTCCCAAGGCCTTTGTTTTAATGGGGATCCCCAGCTAAGTAAAATAAAATTGAGGATTACGTTTTTAGTAGTTCTTTATTCGTTATTAGGTGACCTACTCCAGCTAAGCAGGCGTTCACGATTTCCCCGCATGACAAGGGACATGTGAGTTGAGGATATTAACTACGTGTCAACTGTAGCTTGGTATCTTGTCAGGTTCTCAGTTCAAATGAACCCCCTTAAAAGATAGGGTCATGAGTCATGACCCTTTAATTTTGGGTAATGACTCCATTTTGTGATGATCATGGAGACTCAGGTAGATACCAACACAAAAACCTTCACAGGCCGCTGGACACACGCCTGCAACCGAAGCTCCGAAGCTCCACTCCGAGCGTTTTTCGCTCCGACCCATCTCTTGAGACCAGAGGGCCCCTGGGAAACCTCAAATTCATACCTTATGAAAGGCGAGCCGTGAGCTTCGGAAGAAAAAAAACACAAAAAGCTAGTGCTACCTTCCCCATTCTTTCCAGGGATCCTTCTTTCTAGAAAACCTCGGAAACCCCGGGAAACGGCTCCGGTTTTCGAAAAGAACGATGGTTGAAAATAATGGACAAGGGAATCACCCAGTAGTAGGTAACCAGCTATTTTCCTTTTGGTTTTTAAAGGCTGACTCGCTGGTTTGAAAAGAATGAAAATGGAATCAACCGTTCGAAAATAGAAATCGAGGGCGCAGTTTCCGCGAGTTTCCGGCGTTTCAAGGGTGCTCCTTTTTTCCACGAAGCGAGCTCGTTCTGATCTGTCCAGTACATTGGCTTGGATTCCATTTGTTTCCAAATAGATCCGTCCACATGCCCCAGTTCCGGACTTGGAGCTTGGTAAGTTGGTTGGTTTGCCAACGAACCCCAGTTATGACACCCCGGACGTTGGTTGAACATGGCTGAACATCCAAGTAACAGCAGAGTCGCAATCAAAACCTGGTACACAAATGGTCTACCCAGAACCATGTAAAGAATTAAGAAGGCGGATATCCGCAACTATTTCTGGCTGGGACTGCCCCTTACTAACCTTCATCGATCCCCGTGTTTTGATTGTGGCTCACGTTACCCCTACTTGGTGCTTGGTTTCTTTGGTGCAACCGGGGTGGGAAGGAGTCAGGGAGTCAGGGGTTCTCCAAAGCAATGGGCTCCAAGGAGTTGCCTGAGAAGAGGCAGCCGCACCAACAACCCCCCTGCCCCCCTGATATGTCCACTCTTCTTTTGCCCTCTTACAGGGCTCCCTATATTTCCAGCACCACCAAGGGGTACTCACCTTTCACGGGCCAGAAAGGTGATGTTTAAAACAGCCAAAATGGGAAATATAGGGACCCCTGTCTTACGAACGTAAACAAAGACGCGCTCAAATGGGCCATAGACTTCTGGACATGTTGACCGAGCCTCAGATCCGAGCATTCACAATAGGTTGCACTTGGACCCCCCCCCTCGCACACACAAAGCAATACCTTCTGACCCTTTAAAGAAGACTCCATGACCCATTTCTTTATTTTGGGTAATGACCCCATTTTTTAAGGGTCATGGCGACTCCAGGTACAACACCCCACCAAGGGTTACCTGAAAAGAGGCCCACAAAAGCCCCCGCCCCCCCGCCCGTTTCAAACAAAAGCGCCGCCCCAAAGGCCGCCGCGTGGCTCGGCACCTCCGGCAGCTCCTCCCCGTCGCTCAGCGTCCCCAGCTGCCGCCGCAGCGACGTCGACGGCGAGGCGCCGGCGCCGGGGCCGCAGGCGGCGGCCAGGGCCTTCTGCATGGGCGCCGTGCAGTCCTGAGTCGTCAACGAAAAGTGTTTGGGGGGGAGGAGGGGAGGGGAGGGGGTTGAAGAAGAGGGGGATGGGTTTAGAAACCTGGGCCACCAAATCAAAACGCCCAGTTGTAAGGATGGAATATTAATATATATATATACATATATTATATTATATTATATTATTATATATATATATTTGTATATATATATATATATTGCGACCCGAAATTCTGGTTGGTGAATATTTATTGTTCGATGGGTAGTTTGAGGTCTCAGAGAGGGAAAAAGGGGGGCCTGCCCAGTGCTTCCAGTTGCCACTACAGCAGGTAACCAAGGGGAAACAATCTCCTTGATCTTCCAGGACCCCGAAAAAGAAAGCCTTTCGCCGATTTTCCTTTTTCAACCAAGAGCAGAAACAAGAAGGACCCTGTTTTTGCGGGCCCTTGGAAGACCAAGGATCTGTAAAGACAAGGATCCCTGGTTACCTAAGGACAATCATGTGGCAGCGTAGACACAACTTTGATAGAAGCGAGTTCGGGGCACCCAATGAAGGGAATTTGGCTTGAATGACTTTTGAGGTCATTTTGAGGATGTCGCTTGAATGACCCCCATTGTGGCAACTCAACAATTGGGAGCTATTAAGGGTCTTTTCTCAGCAAAACAAAACGGGCTTGAAGGCAATTCACTAGGGACTCAATAGTTTCCTATTCAACATTTGGGAACATGAATCATTATATGTTGATTCTGTTGTACCTGGTTTCCTGCGTGAATAAACCGCGGTCAATACCTGTGTGTTGTTGTTTTTGTGCGTGTGTGCGCCTATGACAAGGGAATATTGACGGTTGCTCATACGTTTTTTTCATCAAACAACTCCAACCGATTTCACAGAGGGGGTAACATGTTGCAACAAGGAAATCCAGCCTTTGCCAAGAGAAGACCCTCAATATATTGTTTCCCATGCTGTGTCACACCCAAATCTGCCACTAACATGCCATGTTCTTTGCCTTGGCCCCAATGAGTTCCCCAAATAGACTCCATTTCATGTGTGTTTGGTCCTTTTGGTTTCCCATCCCAAAAGGATACCCTCAAAAGACGGGTGTGTCATTGATGGTTCCCTTGTCAGGGTGGGTTGAAAGGGACACAAACAAGCACTCACCATGGCTGCCGTTGGAAGTAGTGAAATCGATTCCCTTAAGAACCAAGAAGGGAAAACATATTCTGAAATGCAAATGGAGTTTGACTAAGAACTCTCGGGGTTGATGCTGTCCACCTTCTCTTCATTCATTATCCGCCATTCTCTTTCCAACGCTTAAGCAACAAGGGGAAACAAGCATTTCCAGCAGTGAAATCGATTCCTTTTAAAATTAACAAGAGAAAAACATCTTCATTTCAGCAAATGGAAGGTTACAAACCAAGTGGGGTGCGAGCCCGTGGGCCTTCAAACAACTCACAACAAGTTGAAGTCACCAGTTCCAGAATTTTGGGTTGCCAATGATTCCCGTTCTTAAGGGGAATGTTGAGGGTCCAGAAGCCTAATCTGGCCCTAGCCCCAAGCTTCAAGACCTGTATTCAACCTCGCAAACCTGGGTGATGTCCCCTGGTATACCCAGAGGCTCCCGATTCATTTAGGGCCCTCAAACAGCCAGGGGTTTTGAGACCCCCAAACACCTCCGGGGTGTCCAATGCAAGGGTCGGGCCTCCCATTGAAAGCCGAAGCCAGGAGCCTCTGGGTATACCAGATTTCGCCTTGGGTCCAGCGCGCCCACGCCGGGCGTCCGCGAAGACCTTCACCAGGTCCTCCGGCGCCGAGCCTTTGGACGCCGCGGCGCCTCCGGCAGCGCGCAAGTCGATGCGGGGAGGCGCCGTTGTCGGGCCGAGGTCTGGTGTTCGGTTTGGGAACACGGTGGATCCCAGGCGCTTTGCCCATTTGCCCACATGGCCATGGTTCAATGCCCATGGGATCCCATTTTGGGGCTTTCGGTGCACCACCCATTTTAGAACCTATTTTAGTGGAGGTTGGGATGTTCCCGGGATGTACGCGGTTTTGACCCATGGTCATATAGTAGGTAACCAGCTATGTTCTTTTTTTCTAAAGTGCTTCCCTGGGTTGGCCGGGCTGTTTTCCTGCTGGTTTTTAAAAGGTGCGCTTCCTTTAACGTTACCCACCGCACAGGTAAATGAATCTACTGGGGAACACATGGTTGTATCTCTTTCTTTTGAGAGACCCCCCCTTTTTGAGGGAAACCAAAGGGGCAAAAGCAGTTCGAATCTTCAGGGGCAATCCCCACAGAGTAAGTAGAGAAATCCCTATGATCAATTCAACTCGGGGGACTTATCAAGTGCGATACCACTTGTTCGGCGGCCCCGCAAAAGGTCTACCTTTTTTTGGGGGGGGAGGAGGGCTTCTAGTAGAACTTACGTCTAAACGAACAAACAACGCAAAAACCAAACACGGCGAAACGGTGAAACCTCGTGACGTTTCAAGATTGAACCACCCAAAACAGCAGTTTTACCCTTCGAGACCAAAAAACAACTTGATGCCAGAGCGCGAAAACAACATAGTAAGCCCGGGGTCTCTGCCCCGGTCCATACTGCTGCAAGTTGCCGATGTTATGGCTGTCTTTCGCGCGAGTCTATATCTTCACACATCCCCTGATCCAGTTCGGCACAGTGACGAACTACAAAACTTCTCCACTCCGCAAAAAAAACAAAAAACAAGCAGCAAAAATGGCCACGTCTGGCTTGAAGCCCGAAATGGGCACCCTGGAAAAAAGAAAAAGCAGACCCGGGTGCCCGAAAAAAAAAACACCCCCCGGCCTGACACGCAAGGCGCGGGGAAGGCAGCAGGCCCTTGGAAACAGGCAGCGTTGGCGGCCATGAGCAGCGTACCTGCGAAGCTGAAAGCGCCAACCATCCGTTTTTTTTTTTCTCTTTCCGGGGGATCCACGTATCTGCATTGTGTTTTTTCTTTTTTTTATATATATATATATATATATATATTTTAAACTTTTTGTGGGTTTAGTGGAACACCCCTTGATTTCAACCAAAAAGTTAAAGTCTAAAGATACAACCCAATAGCAGTCAAGAGTAGTTCGCCAAGGCAAGCGCCACACTTTACAAAACCAAAGGACGAATCGTTTGTTACCTACTATAGCGCTATAGCGGCTTACCTGGGATCCCCTTCCGCCTGGAACCGACCACTCCTGACCAAGTCTCTGGGCCGAGATTAAAAAAAACAAACGCCAAAGCCGTGAAGCAGTCGTTTGCTTTTTAAACAGCCCTCACTATACACCATTTGGAACAAAGTAGAACCTCATGCAAAGTTGGCCAGCAGTCTTTTGAGCATGCCTCGTCTCCCCTCATTTGGGTATTTGTCAACATAAGGACCTACCCCCCAAAACTAAACTCGTGTTTTGGAACCCTTTCGGCTTCCTTTTCTGGGGCCTGAAAAGGGTACCCTCAAAGTATTCCCCCCCACCCCCGGTCAGTGGTAGGATAAAGGAAAGCAACCGATTCCATTGTCTGATTATCCCAGATCCATTCACCTTAGTAGGTGGTCACCAAGGGCTTGCCGCCCTTTAAAGACATCAAATGAAACCAAGTTGGTTGCCTGCTATAGCGGCTTGCCTGGCATTCACTGGGTGTGCTGAGTCCCCTGGAACAACAACAATTCCAGTGACCGATTCCCTTTAAAACCAATACAAACATAGCAATTAGTCATTTCAGCAAATGGACAAATCGCCCTAGTGGCTTGCCTGTTTGATCACCCCCAGACACAGTCCAAATGACCTCAATAGGTGGCCCGGAACACCCCCCCCCCCCACGGCGCCCGCGAAACGCGAATGCATCGATGAGATCGCGCCCTGCGGGATGTCTGTGGTGGCGACCACCCCACGGCCGCTCGGAAGAACCTGCACCTCGGCTTGGATCGGATAGCCATGGAGAGAGCTGAGCTTACCTGTACCCTCAAAGTAGCCATTGCCCTAAAAAAGAAAACACCGACCGTACTTTACGTTTTTTTTTTTTTTTTTTGGAACTTGGATTGGGTCCAGCTAGGCCTATCCTCACCTCCCCGTGGTTGGCCAAAGAAATGACCTGGCGTCTCATGGGTTCACGACATTGTCAAAGGGTCAGCACTCTCTCCTAGCAAATTGTTCACATGGAAAATGACCCCTTTCTCGTGAGTAATGACCCGATTGGGCATCCCCAACGGCTTCTCGACACTGAAATCCATTGCTATCCCTACTCCCTAATGGAACTGTTTACCACTCAAATGGCTGCGGGTCAAAAATGGGTACCCAAAATTCAACCCTGGAAAATGGACACATGAACTAACATCCGCGGTCCCCTGGTTGTTCAATTTTCACCCACAGCCAAATGGTCCAAACCCAAACACTGGGTACAGTCCAAAAGGCTCTGGGAGCGAGCAACTGGTTCGGGTTTTGCAGATCGAAGGATGTTGGGGCCCGCGGGCCCACAGGGTTTGTGGGGAATCACGCTGTTTCCCTCAACGTTCCTTGAGCTCAAACCAGAATCCATACAGTCCCAGCCTGTCACTCAGTGGATCCATTTCACCTGGTTGTGTAGGTCGGCAAGGGCTTGCGCGTCACCCTTTAGAACGAAGAGGAAGACAGTTGTTGCCTACTAGGGCAAAACGCCTGCTAGCATTGGCCTTCAATCAACAGTGATCCAGCCATTTAGACATTGCCCCACCTCAAGTTTCCTCAACATACCTGTCCGGTCCGTTTTAGGATCCCCGGCTAAAACTTCAAAACTTTTAGTGAGATAAATGGAAACAGCGACTAACCAAACACACACACGTCCAAAAACCTTGTCTGCCTACTTGCCGTTTTGGCGAACGGGGGCATCCACCGTAGGTAACCAGAGTTTCGGACCTATAGGTTTGCATGTTTTTCTCTGGTTGCTTGCTTTAGTGGTACCTCAGGATGTTCCTATTACACCCTGGGAATGATCCCAAATCGTCCAGCAACATCAACCACATGACCCTGGGCTTTCTCTGGACCTGGGCGAACCTCGACTAAAATTTTCCAGGCGTCATCCCTGGGAATGGGAAAACCCTCGGTGCAAAGTATTGGGTCCGAAAAAGCGAAAAATCCGCTGGCTACTCTCTAAATCAAGGTTTAAAAGGAGAGCCTTACCTCACCTCCCGAGTGGATGGCCCTCTTGTTATTTATCGCTTAAATGGTCTTTCCAACAGGAAAGTCCATCAACCCAGGGGGTGAGGAAATGATGGTTTGAAAGGATGGCCTTAAACAAATACCCCTCCAAGAACGCCCTCACAATCTAAGGAACAAACAATAAAAACAAATACACAAAAACAGAGGCAAAAACATTACCCCTCAATAAGTATTTTTGTCCAGCACTCAACAGGCTCCCCCCTCATTTTCCGGTGAATTCCGTCCCGGGTCAGAGTGCTCCCAACTGTGCGTCGTTTGGGGAACCAGTGGTTTCTACCAAGTGTTACAAATCTATTGGAGGAAGCACCAAAAATCCGTGTCCAAATCCAGGTTCTCGTTGTATTCTTTCAATTTTGGCTTGAACTTTCCCTATAGGAGATAAGCATAACTTGTTTACCTCTAAGTTTGACAAATCTGCAGGCCTCGTACCTTGGCATCCTACTGTGGATGGACAAAATCCTGCACCACCTAAGAAACCCTGGCATGATTCAATTTCCCTCGATAAATACCAACAAACGTTACGGTTTCAACCATGGTTTCATTCACCCTGGGATAGATTTCTGGATGTCGCAACACCATCAACAGTAACAATCTGGGTTCCTCAACCCAAGACGCCATAAGGTGAGGAAGGGTATTGGCAAGGGGGTTTGGGTGACCTAGCTTGCTCCAAAGAATCCAGAGGCCTCCAATTTTTGGGCATCTTAGGTCCTCCACAGAGGTTAGAATAAGGGTACCAACTTTGTTTCTGTAGTCTATTTTCGTAGAACAAAAACCCTCCCAACCAAAAACGTGGGTGAGAAAGGGCACCTAGCTAGGGGACCCCGGCATCCCACTGGGCGGTGCGCGCCTCCAAATCCTTGCAGACGTAGTCCGGCAGCGGCGGCAGCGCCGTCGCCACGTGCCACGCGCTTTCCTCCAGCTCTGCGTCCGCTGGCGAAGCGGAAGCGGCAGCTGCTGGGTCCTGACTGGGGTCCATGTGTTGAGGGTACCTGGAGTCTCCTTCTGACCCTTTAAAAATGGGTCCATGACCCCTGTATTTTGGGTAATGACCCCATTTTTTAAGGGTCATGGAGACTCTAGGTACCCCTTTTTGGGTGATTTCTTGAAGAGGGGAAGCTAAAAGGAACACGTCACCTTTTTTTTAGGGACCTGGACCCAACCAAACTTCCCCTACATGTGGGTGGTGAGTTCCCTTTATGGGTAGTTTGAGGGTCCAGGTACCCGTTTTGGATGGCTTTTGAAGGGAAACTAAAAAGACAAGCATCTTTTAAGTGGTCCAAATCCTGAAAAAGACACACCCGAACAAGTCGGTGACCGGCGGGACCCCCAGCACACAGATTTGCGTTTTTTGTTTGAACCAAGCCGCAAACTGGGCACCTGAACCTCCACAACTCCAACGCAAAACTGGGATTTCTTGCAACCCGAAATTATGGAATGTAGGTCCTCCAGAAGAGAGGTTAGAATAAGGGTACCAACTTCTTTCTGTAGAGTATTTTAGTAGGGGAACCCTCCCCCAAAAGGCACCTAGCTGGGGGACCCAGGAATTGGTGACCCTATATTGATCAACCCCAGTTTACCAGGGCTCCTTAAAAGACACGCCTTTTTGCACAAAAATAAAGAGAACCCACCATTTACGAGGAAATGTTCAGGTGTACAATGTAAGGATCCCTGTTTACTAGGGGGATGTCTCTGGGGTGGGTTTGGTGGGGGGTTGAACTCCAACTGCCTTACAAGGGGAGTCTCCTTCTGACCATTCAAAAATGGTTGGTCAGTACCCAACATAGAGGCGTCATGACTCCGTCTTTAAATGGTCAGATCCGGAGACTCCAGGTAGCTCTCTCGGGTGGCAGAGCAGATCCACTTGGGCAAACTCATTGCCCCACCTCGAAGTAGAGGTCTCGTAGGTCTGGGACCTGTCCGCTCTCTGCTTCCAGCCTCCCCCGGAGCTTCCTGAGATCGGGTGCAACAAGAAGCCGCCCCGCTCTTGAAAAGCAGCAACAGGTCCGATGCAAAATGGATGTTTTGTTGGTTGGTTTACAGGAATCGGAACCCTTACCCAAAAAAAGGAGAACGGGCGCCACTGGGCAACTGGGAGAACCCTGAAACTGTTGGATTAATGGAAAGGCAGGTGAGTCAGAATCAAACCCCGGTATTAAAATGGTCGACCCAGAACCATGCTTCAAGAATTAAGAAGGCGGATATCCGCAGCTACTTCTGGCAAGGGGATTGTCCCTGACTAACCTTCATCAAACCCATGTTATTCTGCAGGGGTCTGTGCACAAACCCATGTTATTCTGCAGGGGTCTGTGCACAAACCCATGTTAGCTGGTGGGAGGGTACTGGGTACCAGCAATGGCTGCGTTGCTTTCTATGCACAGCCCAAGTACTCTCCCAACGGTTAACCTCAACAAAAATACATTCTGGGCCAATCCTGCACCTTCGCCATCAGCTGCGCTGGTGGGGGCTTGTCACCCCACCCACCCACCCAACACCAACTCACAACCACGAACAAAAACACTTAAACCAACTGATTGAAAACCACTTAAAACCCTCTCACTAAACACACTTAATAAACACTATAAAAACTCAAAAAAAAAACCACCAAAAACCACCAAATAAACACTCAAACCACTAAAAACCACCAAATAAACACTATAAAAACTCTCAGACCACTAAAAACCACTAAATAAACACTATAAAGCTCTCAAACCACTGAAAACCAACTAAAAAACACTCAAGCCACAAAAAAACAACTAAACCAGCACCGAACTAAACCATGCTCCGAATGCTCCCAGTACTGCGAGCCTAGGCGCTCGGCCCTGTGCGCTGCGAGGCGCACCCAAGGCCCCCCCTTGTCACAACTTGCGAGCGCCTGGCGACTCGAGAAGCGGGCGCCCTTGGTGATCTACAAAACCATCCACTAGGCTTCATGCGACAAGTTCATGTGTCACTCTAAGCGGGTCATACTGTGGATGTTGACCTCGGATCTAAGTAGGGGGCTCACCGGCCAAGGGACTCTAGCAACTAGGCAAAGGGATTTGTTGGAGGGGAAGACTCCTACCTTGGACCCTAGCAAATCAATTCAATTGTGGCTCTACCCTGTTCGAGGGGGAAGATTCACCCGGACCCTTCTTAGCAAAAATAAAGCATATCCCTCGTAGATGCAGTGGATTGTTTTGTTTTTTTCCAGGCGACTTAAGCAAACCCAGTGGATCAGGCAAGCCACCATGATAGGTAACCCGCCTAGCCTGAGGGAGCATTCTGAATTGGAATACTATTGTGGACGGTTGCGAAATCCGCGAGACTCATGGAATGTTTCGAGTTCCCAACCTAAATACCAACAAACGTTGTGGCTTCGATCGTGGTGTGAAATGGACTTCGTCCATCCACAGTAGCCATTCCATGAGAGACTCCCTTCCCGGTCGGAACTGTACGGGGTGCTGGAGTCAAGTTCTTATCCGAAGGCGCCAAAGTTTTACACCATCAGGGGACGCCAGCCAAAGCTTTTCGGGCCACAACTAGTGGTCTTCAAGCAAATCGCATGTGTATGGGGTCCCCATATTAATCACCCCCAGTTAATTAATAGGGGGGTGGCCCCTTCCAAAGTGGTCCGATTCCCACTAAAGCCAGGTTGACACCTATGAATAAACTGGTGAGTAATATGGGGTCAACATTGCAAGGAATGAGGGAATGACCAGTGACCAGCCCAAAAAAAATGTACACTTTTTGGGCCACCACTAAAATAAAGGAAGAGCCACCAAGGAAAAAAGTGTAAAGTGTGTCCGCTGGCTGGGTGAGTTCCTATAACCTTGCCTTTGAGGTGACCCCTGGGTTCATTGTAAACACGTGCCATCGATGGCCCCTCCACCCTTGGGGCTGTTTTGAAGGGAAACCAACCACAACACAACTTGTTTAATGTTCTTCTCTTTCTTTGTTTTTGGGGGGGGGGGGTTGGGGGGGTGTCTCCGAAAAACTTTGCGCACATGGCCCCACTTGACAGTTTGCTTTGGCTTAAGCCCTTTTTCCATAATTATCTGCTTACAACCAGGCGTCCCTTTTTCCCCGTGGCACCTTGGCAACCCATTTTGGGATTTTCTGAAGAGCAAGCTAGGTCACCCAACCCCCCCTTGCCCATCCCAGTACCTTACGGTTGACGAACCCGGATTTATTGCTACTGTGGATGGGAAGCCGTTGTTTCTTGGTATTTACATCAAAATCGAATCATGCCAGGGTTTCTTACATAATCTTTTTGATTTCCTCCATCCGGTAGAAGCTGAACCCCTTACGAAAAGGTCTCTGGGATGCGGCTTTGCACTTCTACAGACATGCAGATAGAAGGGATCGATCTCCGCCTTCCGCTTTGGGCGCTTCCGGCGGCCCAGCAAGGCCGCAGCCTCGCATTCTAAGGAGCCCTTTTAATTGTTCTTGCTTAATGGATACTTCGAACCGCAACTAGGAACAAATTCACGCTTATTGCAGTATTTCTGCTTAAGTCGGACAATTCTTGGAAATCGTTCCTGAGAAGTATCCAAGTATATCTCAGTCTGCTTTCTCTTGGCCTTTTGCTTGAAACACCCTAAGCAAATTCCATAGGACGCCTGTTTCTTGCCTGGTGGTTTCTTGCTTGGCGCCCTGCCCCCCCCCAATGGCTGGCCAATTGCCGGCACATCGATTTTGGGCAAAACGATAGTGACTGCAAAAGCAATTTGCTACTAAGTATCACTCATGTGTACTCAGTGCAATTTGTGCAATGATACAAGTGACCTTCCAGGATCCTTTGGGGGGGGTTGTAGGGGCAAGGGGAGGCTGGCAAAATTGAGGTTTGGAGGGCAAGTTTGAGGTTGAAAGGAGTTCTCGAGGGGCGCGTCACGGCGTGTCACGGCGCGTCGGGGGGTGGCCAATTGCCGCCACAGCTTTTGGGATATGAGTGTGTCACCAGCGTGTCCCCCCCCCCCCCCCGCCCCTCGCGCGTTGCATGTGCAATGATCATACATGTCAGCCCAACCCCTCAACTGGATCACCTCTGGTATCCTGAAGTGACGTTTCAACAACAGTGACCTTGCACTCCGCTTTGATGATGGCAAAACATCTATGTGACTACAAAACCATTTTTAAGCAAGTGCTGGTCAATTGCCGGCACTTCACCTGGGACGCCAATTACTGGCCATGGGGGGGCCTGGCATAATTAGGACGCCTGTTTCTTGCCTGGTTTCTTGCTTGGCGCCCTGGTGGTTACAATCGCGTCATGGAGCTGCTATCAACACATCTGAGCTTTGAGACAGTCTGCTGCAACTCGTGAAACGTGGGTATTTTGCCATCTTGCACTCTCGAAAAGCAACGTGGGGTGATTTTCCAATCGGGCAAAGGCGGATCCGGAGGTTTTTCGACTCTGCTTCCAGACTCTTTGATGCTAGGCATGTTGGGCGTTTAGCCCCAAATAAGCTCACAACAATTCAAACTAGGCCGAACGGTTTCCCTCTATTCTCTCATTGAAGCCTTCCAAAGTAACCTCATAGCTGTGGGCATCATCAGCCCCCTAGCCCCCTAGCCCCCCATCTGGGCTCTTACAATTCTTAGCAGAGCTCTTAGAAGGGTTCAGGGGCGTTGGTACATACCCCTTTTTACATACCCCTTGGACAAATGAACCCAAAAGGCCTGCTGATGTTCATACCCCTCTCTCCAAAAGGGGTATATACCCCCTTATAGAGTGGGTTGGAAACCGCGGAAGCCAAGGAACCCATATGAACAAGGGGTATGTACTTCCACCCTTAAAATTACGCCGTGGTCAAACAACCTAAGAGCCACGAACATAGCTTCCTACCTACCAATTAGGGGTCTATGGCATTGAACATTGTAAGGCCAGCTGACGCGCGCTGAGCGCCTGCGTGCCGTACCTACCTGGCTGGTTGGCCTCACGCATCCTCGCGCGGGCCGCGCCTGCGCCAGCTGCGCCAGCTGCGCCCAGCGGCCGCGGGAACGCAGGCGAAGGGCGTCCGCCTGCTCGGAGGACGGGCCCGGGGATGGTCAGGGTAGACTGCCTGAGGGTCTCCTTCCAAGCCTCAAAAAATGGTGGCGCCCAAAATATTTCGGGGTCATGGACCCATTTTTAAAGGGTCGTGTAGACTCCAGGTATGGGCCAGAATCAGACCATTCTATGAATGGATGAACTCATGCAATACGGTTGATGAAACCATGGTGGAAAACAGAAGGCTGGTTGGTATTTGCGTTGGGGAAGCGAATCATTCCAGGGATTCTTGGGTGGTGAAGGAGTTCGTCCATTCACAGTACGACCCCCAAGAGCTCAACGACCATTACTCCCATCTGCATTTCAGATTGTTTAATATTTCCCTCGTTGGCTTTGAAGGAAATCTATCACTACTGAACATATTTGTGGATTTCTCTGATTTGTTCTATGGTGAAAACCATTTCTGGATTTCGCAAAGCCCTCCACATGGGTCCACTGCGGGCTGTTGACGCCAGAAGTTTAAAAGCTCTTGATTCGTTTGCAGAGCGGATCCAAGCGAAGAGCAGCCAAGCCGCTTCGTAAACTGATAACACGTCCTTGCAGCGGGTTATATGCAGTGTGCATCCCGCTTAGGGGACTTCTTAACTGGCGATATTAACCGCTTGATTACTAGGTACGGGGCGCATCCAAGTAGAGATGCCTAAGCGTTCCTCTGTGTCCGACGTTCATGTTCAGAGTATGGATCTGAATATGGACTATGTGGAAACAACAACGAGTTGGTGGCGGGGAGCTGCGGTTTCACGCCATTGCAATTTCCACCCGAGCCACCCAAGGGTCAAGAGTTAATAAGACGCCCTTTGGTGGATGGCTTTGAAAGGTACAGGTCTACCCTCTTTCCAACTTTTAATGGAATTGGACCGGGGCCCATTGCGGGCGTGAGTCTGCCAAAACTCATGATTGCCGGAAAGGGTACCTCAACACAGTAGCCCCCGCCCCCTTGAAACCAATAGAATATGTTTGAACATCAACCTCCCAGATTGGTTCATCAGTTTATTGAAGAAACCCTTGCGGAGCATAGCGCCTCACTGTCCCCAGCAACAATCACCCCCAAAGGAAGCTGACAGTTAAAACGGTAGGGCACAACCCAAACTGAAAACGGTCATCGCCCCATCTGTATGAAGGGTTAGAAGGGGACTCTAGGTACTTACCAAGTATCCTACTTGGGGTGTCCTTTTGCGAGGTTACCCACTTTTGGTTGGTTTCAATAGGAAGCCGAGACCTTATTTGCTCAAGTCACCCCCTGAAAAACTAAACATATGTCCAGTAGTGATAGATTCCCGCTGAACAACCCACATCGAACCAAACAAAAAGAGTTTCAACCCCAAGCAAATGGTTGGGGAAAGAAAAGAAACAACACAAAAAACAACAAAACACACCCCCTTTTCTTTTGCGCGATCCCATGCCGCCCCCGCCAACAAAAAGGAAAAGCGGCGGCCCCGAAACCTTCCCGCCATCCGCCACCCGCCACCCGGCCGCACGAAACCGAAACCCGTCGCCTCGGCGCGCTCCCAGGCGCCCAGCTGCAGCCGCGCGGAGAGCCGCAGCCGCAGCGCCTCCAGGGCCAGCGGCTCCCCGTCCGCCGCCACCTGCGGCGAGTGCACCCGCATGCGAGGGCGCGAGGGGCGCCAGTGAGGCGTGGGAGGAGAGCGGAGGATTTTTGGAGGGGCGAAGGATGGATGTTTTTTTGTGTGGTTCCCAACAATTAAAGGACCGGATAACCCCACATGCTATGTTTTTCCCAAATGTCCACACACATGTACCGTGCGCCCCTTGTATGGATGCGATTACAGAGCACCCAGATGCACAGAATGCAGCGCCTGCCACGACTTCGGCAACGGCATCGCCAAAGTGCTGCGCCTGCCACGATTTCGCAACGGCATCGCCAAAGTGCTGCGCCTGCCACGATTTCGCACACCCCCCGCCGCGCGCGCGACAACATCCTGTCCCTCTAGACAGCTGCCGAATGCGACCCCTGCCACACAAACACACACCCAGATGCACAGAATGCTGCGCCTGCCACGACTTCGGCAACGGCATCGCCAAAGTGCTGCGCCTGCCACGATTTCGCAACGGCATCGCCAAAGTGCTGCGCCTGCCACGATTTCGCACGCCCCCCGCCGCGCGCGCGACAACATCCTGTCCCTCTAGACAGCTGCCGAATGCGACCCCTGCCACACAAACACACACCCAGATGCACAGAATGCTGCGCCTGCCACGACTTCGGCAACGGCATCGCCAAAGTGCTGCGCCTGCCACGATTTCGCAACGGCATCGCCAAAGTGCTGCGCCTGCCACGATTTCGCACGCCCCCCGCCGCGCGCGCGACAACATCCTGTCCCTCTAGACAGCTGCCGAATGCGACCCCTGCCACACAAACACACACCCAGATGCACAGAATGCTGCGCCTGCCACGACTTCGGCAACGGCATCGCCAAAGTGCTGCGCCTGCCACGATTTCGCAACGGCATCGCCAAAGTGCTGCGCCTGCCACGATTTCGCACACCCCCCGCCGCGCGCGCGACAACATCCTGTCCCTCTAGACAGCTGCCGAATGCGACCCCTGCCACACAAACACACACCCAGATGCACAGAATGCTGCGCCTGCCACGACTTCGGCAACGGCATCGCCAAAGTGCTGCGCCTGCCACGATTTCGCAACGGCATCGCCAAAGTGCTGCGCCTGCCACGATTTCGCACGCCCCCCGCCGCGCGCGCGACAACATCCTGTCCCTCTAGACAGCTGCCGAATGCGACCCCTGCCACACAAACACACACCCAGATGCACAGAATGCTGCGCCTGCCACGACTTCGGCAACGGCATCGCCAAAGTGCTGCGCCTGCCACGATTTCGCAACGGCATCGCCAAAGTGCTGCGCCTGCCACGATTTCGCACGCCCCCCGCCGCGCGCGCGACAACATCCTGTCCCTCTAGACAGCTGCCGAATGCGACCCCTGCCACACAAACACACACCCAGATGCACAGAATGCTGCGCCTGCCACGACTTCGGCAACGGCATCGCCAAAGTGCTGCGCCTGCCACGATTTCGCAACGGCATCGCCAAAGTGCTGCGCCTGCCACGATTTCGCACGCCCCCCGCCGCGCGCGCGACAACATCCTGTCCCTCTAGACAGCTGCCGAATGCGACCCCTGCCACACAAACACACACCCAGATGCACAGAATGCTGCGCCTGCCACGACTTCGGCAACGGCATCGCCAAAGTGCTGCGCCTGCCACGATTTCGCAACGGCATCGCCAAAGTGCTGCGCCTGCCACGATTTCGCACGCCCCCCGCCGCGCGCGCGACAACATCCTGTCCCTCTAGACAGCTGCCGAATGCGACCCCTGCCACACAAACACACACCCAGATGCACAGAATGCTGCGCCTGCCACGACTTCGGCAACGGCATCGCCAAAGTGCTGCGCCTGCCACGATTTCGCAACGGCATCGCCAAAGTGCTGCGCCTGCCACGATTTCGCACACCCCCCGCCGCGCGCGCGACAACATCCTGTCCCTCTAGACAGCTGCCGTGAGTCAGCGAGTGTGAGTGAGTGAGTGAGCGAGTGAGTGAGTGAGTGAGTGAATGAGAGTGAGTGAATGAGAGTGAGTGTGTGTGAGTGAGTGAGTGTGAGCGTGAGTGTGTGAGTGAGTG